GTCAGTCTTTTCTTACCCGCTGAAAACATTATGGCCACTGTTTGGCCAAAACTGACCATTATGGTTACTTTTGGTCAGGGATAATTTTTCCAATCATTATTATCAGCTAAGGAGAATGGAGGGGTCAATTACTTAATTCAATGTAAAAATGTGCCCTGAAGGCCCCTGATGCTACAAAAAGTGGTCAAATTGACCCCCATCAACAACAGTATGGTAATTTGTGTTACTTGTTTTCCAAAAGAAAACCCATTTGTATTGAGTTTTGTCTAAAATCTTGCCAAACTTTTGAGGCATAATAGATCGATTGGTTAGTCTTGACATCCAAATTCAATATAAAAATGTGCGCTGATATCAGAATCAATTGATCTCATTAAGTGAATTTTCCACAGTTCTGACCGCTTTGGTTATTTCTATTGGTGGCTAGCATTTCGCTTTGCTGCACTAGTTGAAAGGTGTCAACCTGCAAAATGAAAAATTGGCCTGTCGCGGCTTGCCAGTGGGGGCACTGTTAATTGTTGTTAAGCTGGTTTTAACTTGAATGCTGATTTCTACTCTACATTTTGATAGCAAATTGTTGTAATGCCACATCTGATCATAACTAAAATGTGGGTGATTGCGAAAGATCATGTCTGATTACAGGTGTACCAAAAAAATTTCAGGAAAGTCTATATACATCTTACAGCGTCATTAGACGGACATATGTAATGAGAAAATGAGTCATTATGTAGACATGGTCATTAGCAGGACATTTTCATGTCCTGTTAACGATTGAACAATAGAGTTACTACCCTCTTCGTACGTTTGCAGGCAAGGAAACTTTATAGGCCTCCCAAGAAACAATAGGTTTAATCATTAGTTTAATTAGTTATATTGTTTTGAATTTAGGGTTAGGGTGATATACCAGTTTTATGATGTCCTTTTAATGTACCATTTAGGGTTATATACAGTTAATGTACCATGTAAGGTTATATTTATATATATGTATATACAATCAAACCTGATCATTAAGGCCATCCAAGAGGAACACATACAGTGACCACTGTCTACAGGTAGCCTTGTTAGACAGGTTCTCCATCACACATTTATATCTAGAGGGAGGCAACATGGGTGACCACTATAAGCAGGTTGCCTTTATAAAGTAGTGGCCACTAAGGCAGGTGTAACTGTATATATATCATATACATGTAGTTTTGCAATCTCGTTTTTCAACAACTCTCTGTTTCTATTCCTTAACATTAACTCCATGCTCTCAATTAACAGGAGGTACTCATTTTTCTGCCAGTACATTTTCCAACATTTTGTAATTCCTAGACACAAATTCCTCTACCAGGGTGCCCATAATAAGTAGGGTTTATAAATGCTGTATAATTCAAAATATTTATGCATTATTACGAAGATTCATTATTCTATAGGTTGCTTTCACAAATGTCATACCAGTAATTCAGAATTTTTGCAATTTCGAAAATGAAATCGGATTTACTTTCCGAAAATTGAAAAGGGTTCATATTTCAGAAAATAAAATTGGGCTCATAATTCCAAAAATGCGAAGGGTGGTCTTATCCAGGGGTAAAATGAGAGAGTGTTAAGATTTAGGATCAATACACCTTCTGAATAATGAACCTTCAATCTTTCCTAAAAATTCTTATTCAATATTATTGTATTTTTAGATGATTCAGTTGACCTGTTTTTATGAGGTGTTAAAAAGATTGTTTCACTTTCCCCTTAAAGTCATGACTTAATGTGTGATAAAATGATATGTTTTTATTAGACAGTTTAGTGATTAATGTAAGGAGTGATGATTGTGGATATTACCAGGTTGAATAAATGTACAGATATATGATTGCTGACTAAATTCATTTGTGGATACATGAGTGATAATAGACAATGAATGACATTCTCAGCTGTATGCTGTTGTGTTTTTATGATGGGTGGAGGGGTGACACGTATAAGTATCTTGAATTGTAAAATATCCATAGAATAAGCCAAACTAAATTGTTCTATTTTATCCATAACATTAATATATTTGTGGACGTCGAGACATCTTGCAGGTGAAAATATATAATATTGGATACAAATACAACACTCAGGATTATAGAATGATTACATAAAATACATGTATTGATATCACAGCCTTCTACATTACACCTAATAATACTTACAAATCACTGTACATTCATTGACAACTTGATTTTGAAAAATTTGAAATACTCTCACAGTGTTTTAAAACATGTTATATGAAATGTTTAGATAATACTAAAAAGACATTTACATCACGTCTGATACAAAACACAGTATATGTTACAAACAATTTACTAATTACATTTCGGTTTCTCCTTTATCAGTATTAAATGTTTCAGAAATCTGTAGATTTACAGTTTAATTGAGAGTTTAACAGATTGACTGAATGAAATATATGTGTGTAATTTCTAAACGTGAGAGTTGTTCAAGATTCTTTTTTTTACAATTCCTGCTCATTGAAATGTGTAATAATCTGAATAACAGAGTATTACTGTAAACTGAATTAACAACTGAATCTATTACACAGTTATGTAATACCATTTAATGGCTGGCAAGTGTTAAAACATGATTGGAGTGAAAACCTATTAAAGATATATGTAGGTAGGGGAAGTATACTACAGTAACTTAATATGTAAATCATATTCAAATTGAAGTATGAACACAAATTTAAATCTAGCAATGAGGTTTGTGGAGATACCTCCAAATATGGAACCAAACAATTTTTTCTCTTCACTGTCATGTCAATGGGTAATTTTCCTCATTTATCTTAATCATGTACATGTACATATACATACCTGTACATGAGGACTACAATCATAAAGTATAACATCATTATTATTTTTGTTGTGCATCCTTCTCTTTCGTTTCTCACAAAACATTTAAAGTAAAATTTATCAAAACTATAGGTTTTCTAAAAATCTGCTTGATAACATCTGGAAACACTAATGAACAGAATGTACAAACAGATCATCACAAGCATGTATAGAGGAGAGAGTAGTTCCTATAATCATTCAATATTACATGTAGTACATTATGATAATAATATGTCATCTATATAGGTACAGTTGTTTATACAGAGTGATTTCACATCTTAATTTATGTATCACAATTCTTAGAGAAAAGAGAATTCTTACTGCAAGGAGTGATGAATATCATGTACATTTTATACCTTTATGACAGGTGATCAAATGATTAAATAATGAGGAGTGCATTTTTATGTACAAAATGAAGTATCATACTTTAATTAAATCAACATTAAACTTATGGAAAATGTTTACAAATATTTTTGTCTCATTTATATGCTTTTGATTTATAATATAATACATAAGCATAGGTTGATGTCCTAATTCTACAAAGGTATAGTTTGTGTTCTTCAAAGACAGATTGCAGATAAACTACTTGATGTATCCAAAAGTCATCATTTACATCTACATTGAAATATATTTATGCATGAATTGGGAGTTTCTGGTAATTCATTTTTATTCAGATTTACAGCAGGCGGAGTATACAAATAGAGTGAGAGACAGTGCAACCTTTGTACAGGCTCAAGAAATGATTTGGCTGACCATTATTGAAAGAATAATGGAAACATGAGAATTTCTTGTACTTGTGACCCTTAAAGCCCCACTGTCCTACTTGTAGCTACTTGCTCCCTCTATATAGAAAACTTCCCAATCAGTGCCTGCTGGTCCCCCATGATCCTCTTGTTTTTATGTTAGTTGAGAGCTGAGTTAATGAGATAGCCACCTGTCAGTGACCTCGCTGTGTGGTCTAATCCCTTCTGGCCCAGTAGTATTAATGGTCTTTAAAGTGTGGCGTGTCTGCACACATGTACAAGACATTAAAACCATCAATATCCAACAGTACAGAACCTGTACTTGGAGTTCACATATTTTGATTCAGTAATTGTATTTCTGGTCTGTTGTGTTAAATCATCTAATAGTTAACATTAATATTGGTCTTTTCATTTGAAAAAAAGGTCTGTATAACAGGAATGGAGAGTCACTATGTTCGAAAGTGTTAACTTACAGTCATCTTGTAATGCAAGACTTAACAAAATGGCTGCTGAACAATGCCACAACAGAAAGACATGTAATCAACGATTCTGCATAACTTTACAGAGAAAGAATACACAACAGATGACCATGTCGACCATCAAAAGAGTATCAGCAAGTTATCAAGCTAAGTTCAAACCTCAATGTTTAAAAGACAGGTAGACACATTTGTATATACTTAGTTGACCAGACCCACCTCCTCGAGACCTTGTTATTGCGACTATTTTGGTTAACAAACATTATACAAACTTATACTTCATTTATGTACAATATATATGAATTCTAACATTAAAAAATCCTTTATCCGATATCAATTGAAGTATTTAAGAGTTCACTCCCTCATTAACACCATATCAAATACTGAATGTGTAGCTAAATCACAGATTTTGTTTTTTATTTGCTAAAAGGCCTACTATTAAACAAGCTATGTGAATGATTACAGTTTTCGTTTGATAACAAAAAAACGAAAGCTGGATAGTTAGACACTGCTTTCAATACAACTTTGTAAATTTGTTATTATATCACCTTTATGAAAATGAAAAGATACTGGAGACATGATGGCATATTATGCTTGTTTCTACTAACATAGATATTGCTTGGGTAGGATGTGGAAGAAACATTGGTACAATAGGTATTAATTCTACATCCAAAGTACAGTTGCTTTGGTCGACACCAGTCGCTCTCTTTACATACATCATAACTTTCACTATAAAGTTACTACAAAAAACATAACACTTGATGTATAGTATATACACAATCTTATCGGAACATTGGAAAGATAACACTATGTACACTGTGGGAAATTTAATTTCTTGTGCTATGATATTGATTGAGAAAAACAAAATAAGTGACAATCATCATGAGCTTTTGTCATTGTTCAGCTAAACATTGTTTTACATAATTACATTATATATCATGATGTGTTTAGTGTATCACATTCCTGAAATACATTACTTTGCTATAGCACATTGGGGATCCTCACTTCCAGTTGAAAAAGAAAGCAAGAGAACTACCTATTCATGTACCTGACTTACCTTTGTTAATGTACATCCTTCAAACATGTGTGTCACTTTTAATTTAGAGAGAAAGCCATAGGAATACTCTGTTGGTTATTGAACAACATCACCGAACCACAAGTTACTCCCACTTATACTCCTTAAAGTATTATATACAAAACGGACCTTTAACCTTATAAGTCCCTCAGACCAGAGTTACTGGCTTACATGTTGCCTCTAGTACCATGCCATTCATTCTGCTTTCCTGTTCTGCTGTGTACATGTTGCTTTCATAGCCAAAAGGGCGTGGCTGTTTCACATACAGGTTCTTCATGATACGCTATATGAATGAAGCAAACAAAGTCAACCATAGTCAGTAGCCATAAACAATATTACTAAATAACAATACTCAATGAAATACATGTAATATGTGATATTACTGAACATAACCGTAGTCAATATCCATTGTCAATAACCATAATCAGTAACCCTAGTCAATAATAATTGTCAATAAATGTAGTCATATAGTAACAATGGTCAATAACCTTAGTCAATAACAATTGTTAGTATCTATAGTCAATAGCCATAGTCAAATATCCTTAGTCAATAATCATAGTAACCGTAGTAATTGGCACATTGCGAAACTGCATCTTGGTCTATACAGTGCGTACCAGAAAAACGAAACCGAGAATTATCGATGTTTTATCATAACTTAATCACATTTATAATTGATAAATGACACATATTTGGAAAGCTTAGATCCTCCTCTTTCATCTGATGCAACTCATATAATACATAATATTTCACGCATGAGTGATTAAAATGAATTTGAAAAGAGGAAACCAAAAAGTCATTTGGCGGACGGTATCTGAATTTCAAAAAGAAAATCGCATTCCTAGACAGCTGAGTTTCTGCCCTTTCATATGGCACCTCAATCAGGAAAAATGAGCAAGGAATGACAAAGTTCTGTTTGTTTAAAGTAGTGCTTGCATTTCCATAATTTTATCAAACGAATTCGTTTGCACTGGGTGCCTGCCGTAGCAAAAAACAGAGTTGACAAAAGACTTAACTCCATTTCGTTGACAATCAGCCATAAACGAAAGACTTCAAGCATGGCTGATTGTCAACGAAACGGAGTTAAGTCTGTTGTCAATTCTGCATGTTGCTATGGCAGGCACCCAGTGAAGACGAATTTGTTTAATAAAATTATGGAAATGCAAGCACTACTTTGAACAAACAGAACTTTGTCATTCCTTGCTCATTTTTCCTGATTGAGGTGTCATATGAAAGGGCAGAACCTCAACTTTCTAGAAATGTGATTTCCTCTTTAAAATTCAGATACCGTCCGCCAAATGACTTTTTGGTTTCCTCTCTTCAAATTCATTTTAATCACTCATGCGTGAAATATGTATTATATGAGTCGCATCAAATGAAAGAAGAGGATCTAAGCTTTCCAAATATGTGTCATTGAGTAATTATAAATGTAACGAAGTTATGTTAAAACATCGATAATTCTCGGTTTCGTTTTTTCTGGGACGCACTGTCTAGTCAAATTGTTTACATGAATGGATAATGAAATACATGTAATACGGATATTTTTTGTAATCCTACATACGATTTACAGATTGATTCAAAGTTGTTCACCTAATGATCATCAAATCCTATCATATCACATTTCCTATCCTGCCCTGCATTTGTCTTACCACACTTGACACATGTAACTGATAGGAGCATTGAACTAACCTCACTAATTGATCCAGGTGTTGTGATTATTTGGTAGGCAGCTACGATAGGTATCATTGAGATGGATGTACACGATATCAACCAACCAACTGCTACTGCCCATTCGGGGTAATCATAGTCATCCAGAGTAAAGGGTTTGTAGTTTGCCAGACCAAAGCCTATGATGAACTAAATAGATAATGGGGTAAGGACGATAGGCAATATAAAACAGTGCAGTATTTTTAATATTATTCTGTACTACTGACAGACCCTATACCGCCATTAGAATACTGTACAGAGTGGACCTCAAAATAACAGGCAGGCATACTTCCAATAGTGTGGGGTCGACTTCACTGGTACCAGCGGAAGGAGAATGTTTTCACATAATAAATGATACCAAGATTGACAAATTCGGTAGAGGGGTTTTTGTTTTAGGGAGCAATTTGTGCAGCAAAGTAGGAGTTCAAATTTGTCCAGTATCAATTAAACTGTATTTTTTTTAATCGTATACTTTCATGTCTATAATTTACAAGTCATTAAAAACGTCTGAAAGAAAAAACTATATCTGTGGAATGTTATAGTCAAGTTCAATCTGATATTTCTTACAACCTGCCCAAAGTAAGTCTTTTTGTCTGCAACATTGCGTCTAGAAGAAGACAAAAAATCGTCCATTTTTGAGAAATTCAAAATCTTTTTTATTCTAAAATGATTCCCCATCAACTGGTACCAGTGAAATTTGCTTCGCATTAAATATTTGAGGTATGCTAGTCCATTTTGTATAGGCCACCCTGTAAAGTTAAATATGCTTGATGTATTAATCATCATCCAACAACAACAAAATGTGATATGTAGGTTGCTCATGAACATCCTTTCACAATAATTTGTGCTCACATTTCTAAAATCACCTTAATAAACTAGTATCTTCCATCTTCATGCACCTCATACATGATATTGTAAGCTATCAACATTTTAACAGAGTCACAAAAATGAATCTAATATAATCATCATTGGGGATTTTTAAAAAACACAACTTACCATTATCACCGGGGCAAAGAGCGTGTAATAAACTTACTATGATCATAACAGGGCTAAGGAACATGTGATAATCTTACTATGATCATAATGGAGTTAAGGACATGTGATAAACTTACTATGATCATAAGGGGGATAAGGAACATGCGGTAATCTTACTATTTTTTTTTTCTTTTTTTCTCTTTGCCTCTTAGAGGTGTTTATTCAATATTCAAACAATGACATAATTTTGCTTACAATTCAGCAAATCAATGGAACATCAATAATACACAAGTTATTTATTCAAATATGACTAAGCAAATTCGCAGGAAATTTCATATTTTGTACTTTCAAATGTTCGTTTATTTCTATTCTGTTAATCATTTCTCTCTTAAATAAGTAAATCAAACTCAAATCTCTATTATCATACCCATACTTATTACGAAAAATAATCATTTTATAAATCGACCAAAAAGCAATAGTCATTATCAAATCGATTTCGGTTTGCGAATTCATTTTGAGTAATAAAACAATATCTATCTCTATTCTAAGATTGAAAGCACGTGAAAATAAGTCCTTTAAATAGGCAAAGAAGGTTTCATTTGCCTTACATGAAATGAAAGCATGAAGCACATCTTCAGTCTTTTTGCATTTTAAACAAAGGTCATCGTATGAGAGACCCCACTTGAACAGATTGTTACGAACTAGTAACATATTATATAAAAGCTTGAAATTAAATTCACGTAGACGAAAATCTTTTATCCCAATCAAATTCCTATTAAAAACAGAGGACCATCTAACGTCCTTCTGCAAGACATCTTCCCAATACAAACAACATTTATTTATTTTAATTTGTTCAAAACTAATCATATTATACCACTGTTTACTACTCAAAAGACTAACAGGCTTAACTGATTTTCCAAATACAAAATGGGGGATAGAGAAATTATGGTCTTTGAAAACCAAAGGTACCCTATGCTTATCATTTATCCAAATTTTTGGAATTGATTTTTGTAACTTTGTATAGTCAAAAATCAAAAATTGTTTACTTCTCCTAGTTTTAAGGCGGATAAATAATTCATTTACTGAAACAAAAGTACCATTTTTAAAGATATCATTTAAGTATATAATACCACTTTTATACCAGTCTTCATAAAATAACATTTTCTTTTCAAAAACAATATCTTGATTATACCATAAAATATTTTCGTCGACATGTTTCTGTGTCTGACATTCAGCTGATGTGTATTTGTTTATGAGGTACCATGCTTGTAATATTTCTATGTAAAAATATGGGACATTTCTAAGTTTTAAGAGATTTAAAGTATAATCAGTATAATTGCAATTGAGCAGTAGATGCAGCCCTCCCAAACAGTCAAACCAATGTTTACACATGTCTTTCCAATTTCCTGTTGTATTATCTAAAAGCATCCCAAGCCACTTCAGCCTAAAACTAAACATCTGCTTTTTAACATCAATCATTCGTATTCCTCCTTCACAATAATCCTCAGTAACAATACATCGTTTTACCTTTTCAATTTTACTTTTCCAAAGAAATTTAAATATCAGGCTATTAAGTTTTATCAAAAAAGTAGACGGTATTGTATCAACAATCATTAAATGGATAACTTGACTAATTGCAAATGATTTGATAATAGTCAGTCTTCCAAACAAAGTCAGGTTTCTTTTTCTCCAGTTATCTAACAGTTTTTGCATTTTTTCTAATTTATTTTCCCAATCTATCTTTAAAGCACACTGCAGATCATGTGCAATATAATGTCCTAAGTATTTTACTGGCTCATCTGTCCAATGTAAGCCAAACAAGATAACGACCATCGTTGACAGGCTGTTCCAATCCAAATCAAGACAGTCTTTTCTCTATTTAACTTCGGTCCTGCAACTATGCCAAAAACCTCTTATTCGATTAAAATATTTTCAAAAGAATTTATATCAGATGCATAAAATAAGGTGTCATCTGCATATTGCAGCAATTTCAGATCAATACCTTTATTATCAATATCTAGACCTTTGATTTCCTTATTTTCTCTCACTTTATTTGCCAAATATTTGGCAAATAAAGTGATAATCTTACTATGATCATTATGGGGTTAAGGACATGTGATAAACTTACTATGATCATAAGGGGGATAAGGAACATGCGATAATCTTACTATGATCATTATGGGTTAAGGACATGTGATAAACTTACTATGATCATAAGGGGGATAAGGAACATGCGATAATCTTACTATGATCATTATGGGGTTAAGGACATGTGATAAACTTACTATGATCATAAGGGGGATAAGGAACATGCGATAATCTTACTTCGATCATAAAAGGGCTGAAGAACATGTGATAAACTTACTATGATCATAACAGGGCTAAGGAACATCCAACAGAACCGCCAATAAAATCCTGGCTTGTATCCGCACATCTCTTCTATGTCTCGAGAAATCTTCTCTGTTGGTGTTGTGAAACCTGGATGCAAAATATAGAACGTTTAGGCAGGGATATATCCCTGGTTTAGGGGTTTGCATTTATACTGGAATTAATGCTCTCATCTGAAAAAGATTATCCCTGAAACATGGACTTATTAAGCATATTTCTTTTTATAGCCAGTTAACACTGCCCCCCGGGGGGGGGGGTCGGGCTAGGAGAAGGAGGGGATCAATATGACTTATACGAAGATACGTTGTATACACTAGCATGTCCAGGTGGGGGCTGTAGCCCCCTTCATTCGCTGACCCCCCCCCCCCCCCCAAAAAAAAAAAAAAATAATAAATAAATAAATAAATAAATAATAAATAATAAATAAATAAATAAATAAATAAATAATAAATAAAAAATACACCACACACAAAATATATATATATATATATATATATATAAAAATAATAATAATAACAATAACAATAATAATCATAATAATAATAATAATAATAATAATAATAATAATTATAATTATAACTATAATTATAATAATAATAATATATATATATATATATATATAATTAAAGGGAAGACAACAACAAGAAAAACAAGGTGTTTGAACACCTAAAACATCCCCCTGTATGCCAATGGGGTGTTTGAACACTCCCACCCCCCCCCCCCCCCCTCCAATCGATACGCCAATGGTACCCGGTAGTATGCGATGACGGTCATTTGATTAGAACGTGAACGAAATGTTTCCCGCGGGAGAGGTGAGTTCGCTCTGTAAAGTGCACAATCGTATGAATAGAATCTAGCGACCGGGGTACTGTGAGTGCTTACTTAGTTTACGGTGTTTCCGACAAATTTAACGACATAAGAATAAAAAATGAATGGAAATAATGAGAAGGGGAAAGTAAGGGTATTACCATACAACCATGCCACCGCCAGTGTCTCAAACAAAACCACGAACAATATGGCGTAGTAAGCTGCACAGTTGTCGAATAGATTCACCAGATACGTGCCACCCTGTAAAAAGTGGTAAATTAATTGTTGTTTATTGTTATTCATTTGATTTAGTATAATAACTTGTATACATCTGAAAATATTCTCAAGGTGTTTGTGCATAATACATAATTTCATATTTACTTACCTTTTTATAAACAAAAAAACAAACAAAAAAATCTTATTTCTATATACACAAGATATGAAATTCATGTCTGGAACATATTACTTCCATTATTGATTTGATTTGATCATTACCAACATGTAATGTGAATATGTACACCGAATAGAAATACAACATACTTAGACTTATTTTAGTAATTTTAAGGAACCAACAAAATAGCATGATTCTATTCGAGGTTACTCTTATCAACATATATTTGGTATTAAAATTATTTTATGTATAGACATTGTTGCTTTATTACAAACATATTGCCTTCCACATTAATGAACCATTATAATTCAAAATGTTGGTCAAAGATTTGGTTAATTAAGGTTACCGGTACATACGAACCTGGGATGTAAATGCTAAACCAATCAAAAGTAGATTGCGAAGAGGAAAGCGATGAAGATCTCACGATGTTTCTTTACCACCTTAGGAAACTGATCACCAAGACCTGTTAAGATTGCTTCTGATCCTCCAAACTTGAATACAAAACACAAACAAAATAACATTTCATCTATGGTGTATAATGCATAAAATATTTATTATGAGATTGAAATGAACCGTCTATGGTATTTCAATGCTAAAAGTGTTCAGTATCAGATTGAAATCAACTGTCTAGATAGATAAATAGATTCTTTTATTGATCCATATTGTAATAAACGAAATATTGGAATTTTGGAAAAGAGGATGTCGGACTAGTTTCATTTAGCTATACCCCTAGCGGCACCAACGATCCTGAACAGAAACGAAACTCGTGGCTTTTGTCCAGCGTTGTGACCGTCTCTAAAGGATCCCGGGGCCCCGGAACACAAAGGTTTTTAATCAATTATAAAATGGTAACTGACCAATCAAGATCATCGTTTCAAGCATATTATTGTTATTAAGGCTGACTATTAACCAATCAAATATCGGACAAGGTGCGGTGCAGATGAGCACGGACAAGCCTGAATCCAACGATTGGGATGGTAATACATGGCAGATAGGCCCAGGGGCGTACGCAGGGGGGGGGGGTTTGGGGGTTTCAAACCCCCCCTTTGTTATTTTAATGTATGTAAACCCCCCCTAAAAAAACCGAAAACCCCCCCCCCCCCCCCCCCCCTTTGGCTTTTTTTTTTTTTTTTTTTTTTTTTATTATAAAAAAAAAAAAAAAAAAAATTATACCCACGGCTAACCTAAATAAGGTGACCCTACCCCCCCCCCCCAACGAAAAAAAAATGTCAAATTTTGAAATTTTGAGACCAAAAAAAAAAAAAAGTGTCCGCTTACCCCCCCCCCCCCCCCCCCCCCCCCCCCCCCCCCCCCCCCCCCCCCCCCCCCCCCCCCCCCACTGAGCGACTTTTCGGCCGGCGCGATTTTCGAATTTTCGGGAGCAAAATATTTTTAAACCCCCCCCTTGAAAAATCCTGCGTACGCCCCTGGATAGGCCAATCGCTCAGAGACGTAGGGTAGATGTATTATTATAGAATAAACACGAAGACGACGAATATTACCGAGCTGTCGAGACCAAGTGTAAGAAGCATGAGGAAGAAGAGAACAGACCACACGTTCGCACCAGGCATAGTAGCCAATGCTTCAGGATACGTCACAAATACAAGCCCAGGTCCTTGTGATATAAAAAAAACAAGCGTTAAGAATGCTAACAAATCGAATTGTTTAAAACAAACAATGGCACCTAGAATTTATTTCAAAATGTGTTTGATTACTCGTCTGCATGAAATACAATACTATGACAAACCTATAGGTTATTAAACGAATGAGTTTTTTCCATGTATACATGGAAAAAACTCATTCGTTTAATAGCCTTTTCCGATAAGCTAGTCCTTATTAGATACCCTCATGGAATAAACTCATTTGTTGAATAGCCTGACATCATAAGATGGGCCGTAATAGATACCCGCATAAAAGGACGCCATGCAACAATTAACCTGACTTCATCAACAGGCCATAAAAGTATTCCTTGGTTATTGTTAGAGTTAGGTTTTAGGTAAGGATAAGGGTTGGTGTAGCGTGTGGTCCAGTGTGGAAGCACATGTAAGCACAAGCACAAGTTGTTTCTTAAAGGCCCTGGCCTATAATATATTCTGTATTTATGACTTGTAGTTGTTTTAATGATGCCAATTAAAACTGAATTGAATTGAATATAGGAGCGATTGTCGAAGGAGCATGTGTCACACTGTCATTGGTTATACCAATCATTTGCTTTTCTTCACATCAGTAAAGTCGCTCTAAGCACGAAATGGATTTGATATTGCAAATCAGGTTGAGTAAATTTAAATGCAATTAATTTGTCAGATTTGGCTGCAGTTTTTTTGTTTCATTGTGGAATGTATGTACATTGATTCTCAAGATGGCATGTGAGCTGATCGATATATATATCTTACATTAGAAACAAATCATTCATGGATAGTTACAGTCACAGTTCGAGGTTTTCGTACTTTTTCACATTATGTGGCACATCTATGGAATGTAGATTTGTTCCTCTTTTTTGCATATTATGTATTTCATAACTTATTCTTTAATATTCTATGAATCCTCTCCGTCTCTTTCAAATACCGTGCATATGTTATGAAACAGATGGGTATGACATTAACACTCTATGCTATGTTTGAAGACCAAGAAAAGAAACCCGTGATTATGTCATGGGGACAGTAATTATGCATCAATAAGGGAATAGTATGAGGTAATGTGAACTTTGACTTTAAACTGCACTGTGATGATCAGCAACATAAAGATACCTTCTGTGGCTACTTCATCGATGGACTGGTTGTTACGCTTTGCCATGTATCCCAAAACAGCAAACACCACAAACCCAGCCAGGAAACTTGTACAGCAATTGATAGTACTCGTCAGCAATGCATCTCTATATCACAATACGAATATGAGCAGGAAAAAAAACAATTAATAAGAATTGATGAGAAATTCAAGAACAAAATCAGTTCAGCATTCTTTCTTTATGTTTTTTTGAAAAGGATAAACTCATTCATGCGTGAACACACAAACTTATAATTGTAGTCTTGCAAGTCTGCACTGCCTTGCGAGACTCTGTTAGTTCAAACTTTCAGTTCGATGTGAATGTCTTAGTAGAATTAAGCTGGTGCCTCGATGTTTTAAATCTACATTATTTCAGTAGTTGGTTTTACTGCATTTTGGGATTTAAGGTATATATAAACAATAATTTAAGTATTCGTAAGGTGAAGAAATGACACCATTTCAGGCAGTAATGGCAACCCCAATGCGCCTCTGCCGTTTCCATGGTTTCATTTTTGGGTTAGCCAAAGTGTAAAACTTGGTGGTCCAACATTCAGCAGATTTCTGCAACCAAACTACCTGGCTAGCCGCACATTTAAATATCGTCGCTAGCAATCAGGGAATATGGTAAACAAAATTCATTAACTCTGACGTCACAGATAAAAGGGGTTGATCTACTATTAGAAATATGTTTGATCATCCGATCATAAAAACGGAATAAAGTAAAGCTCGAAATAGAGACTATAGAAGAAGTTTAAATAAGTACACATTCCAAATACAGATCATTGTGTCTGCAATATTAAAATTAAACCCTTGAAAAGTTTCGTGTGTTCAGTCCTCAATAGGTTCTACCATTGTGCCAACTTTGAAGGAAAATGCAATTGCCATTCTTGAGATATGTCTTCCACAAAAAATGACAAATGTACAGAAAATAAACAAAGAAATGACGAATATAAGAGGTGATATGTACAATAATACGTACCCCCTTATTTACAAAAACCTCTCAAATAAGAAAAGACAACCCAAATTCTATATAGCCGTGTCACAGATTCCTTTTCTAAGTCCAGACATCTTCCCATCTGAGACGTGTACTGGAAGACTAGAAAATAGCTGCGAGGTAATGTCAGACAACTGGTATGCGCCCTCTCACCGAAACTGGACAACAAAACTATTACACAGTCATATACAAATAGCATTTGGATGTGCCAAAGAACAATTTTCTAATAATCCATACCATCCTCATGAAATTATTCAGCAAACTCACAAACTCTTTTTCACCTTCACCACAAATTAGCATTCTCTTTACACGTCATTATAAAAAAATTTCAGTCATGAAGAATATACAGTATCTACAGAAATATATATAAGAATGTATTACGGGACCACTCACTTGTAGATGTTATTGTTGAATCTGTTGTAACTTGAAAGAGCTAGAAGAACACCAAAGCCAGGACCAAGAGAGAAACAGATCTGTGTCGCAGCATCAACCCATACCTACAATATCATACATTCATTACATCCAATTATTATCTCAATGTCAATTTATTTCGATGATTTTCTCTTTACCCCCTTGCACAAACACTATATACATTCTTGAACTCCGAGTAAAACTCTATGCTACTTTTCTTAATATATATTAAAAATCAGATATTTCAAACTATGAATCAATTTATAGGTGTAATCCCCAGCTCCTAAAAAGAAAACAAAATACAAAAAGAATAAAATTTCTCTTATGATAAATTAACGATTATATCATTTGCTTATTCTATAAAGTTCTTTTTTTTAGTCTACTACAATCGATTCGTGTACAATATTGTTAATCCAAATTCTTATTTCAATATGACAATAAAGGGCTAAAATTCATATAGATACAGTCTTAGTTATTTAATCAAGGGAAAATGCCAAAGGCCCTTAGCCTACAATGTGCTAATATCAAACTCATAAATGGCGGAAACTTTTTTGGAATGTATTACTAACTTACGTTAAGTTTAAGTCTAAATTTATAACAGATAAAAGGAACTCCGCAACTCATTTTTTGTATTTGCTTTACTTTTCTCTTTGTTCCCAAGTACATATTTCATTTTTTGGATATAGTATATCATTATTTGTATTATTATTATTATTATTTTGCAGTATGAGATACTACTAGACTGTAAGGGTTTACCAACTGAAGCCGTGACAAATTAATCTATTTTAACGATGAGATAATACTTGATTTTAAGGTTCCACTTATAAAGCTACATTGTAAGGGTTTACTTACCGAAGCAGTGATAATATGATCTCATTTAGCCACGATATAATAATTGATTGTAAGGTTTCATTTGCTGTATGATTTAATATTTGATTTTAATGCCTACCGCACACTAAACGGTCTTCTGGTAATTATATTAGATTTGGCAATCTAGATAAAAGTATCTACCCGATTTAAGTTCTTAATTATGATTAGAAAAATAAACAGTAATTTAAGTGCATTAAAGCCTTCTCGTCAGAATAAAAACCAATCGTAGACAATCGTTGAAAATCGCACTATACTGGTCTGACGTTTTTGCGAATCTGAGCCTATTTCGCTTTCCTTCCTCCAAGAAAGCTTGCAGTCCCTTGAAATTTAGATTTAACTAATCATATGACTATTCAGATCCTCGATCATTATAGTATTAATGACTGCTTTGAGAGAAATAGTTGTTTTATTACGCTCAAGGGAAGGTTAGAATTGTGCTATTCCCCGAGGCTTGCCGAGGGGAATAGCCCAATTGTAACCTTCCCGAGAGCGTATGAAAACAACTATTTCTCGAATATTAAAGCAGTCATTAATACTTTTATATGCCGAAAAAAATAGACTAAAAAATAAAAAATAAAAAATATTTTTTTTTTGGTCGAAGATGAGATTCGAACTCTTGCGTACAAAAGGTGTTGTATGCTCAGTCAGCGCCTCAGACCTCTCGGCCATCGCGCGCTATCAAAATGCTTGGCAGTTTTGTACCATATATACATTAAAACGGATTGAAACCGGCTTCGCGTGTGATGAATGCTTCGCAAAAGCTCCATATACGGACTCTTCTTTTACTTTTGCAATGCATATTGGCACGAACTTAGATCAAGATCTATCGGCAGATGTTGTTTTTTTTTTTTGAGAGTTAATTTTCGTCTTCATGTCAACAATGCAAGATAAAATTGTCGGTAAGATCGATCGAGATTCAATTATATTGAAATTGCCGACCAATTTTTCGCACACGTATGGTATCCTCCATCGCTCAAACCATTTTTTAACATGTAAACCTATGGGGTAACCATGGAGACTGACCTATTTTTTTAATAACCATGGTTATTAAAAATATTGAAATGTTTTATGCATGGTTACCGGAATTTTACAGGAACAGTTGAAGTTTATGAATGCAATTCGACCAATCAGATGGCTGGATTTCTTAAGTGAGGTATATAATAAGGTTTATTACATGTTAATGTTTACATCAAATAATTGCAAATTCTTCCAAAATCGGATCGTAGTCACATCGTGTAGTGTGCAACGGACCTAACGTGCTGTATGAGATCGTTGTAAAGGTTTACTTATAAACTTGATTATCAGGGTTTACTTACTGAAGCCGTTAGAAGACGGTCCCATTTCGGGATGAGATAATACTTGATCCCATCACCAGCACCAGGTAGAGTAACACCACGGATGAGCAGACAGAACAATACCACGTATGGGAGAGTAGCTGTGATCCACACAACCTAGGTACAGAAAAACAATAATAATAATACTCAGCTTTTACATAGCTCGGATTACAATTATGTATCTAAGCGCTTCCAAACTTAGAGATAATTACCCCGGCTTAAACTGTGCTGCCATTACGGTGCTCTAGCATTTCAAGGAATCATTGCCTGCCATGCAGGTACCCAATAACATCACCAAATGTTGCTGAAATGACATGATTTCCCGGGTTTTCTCTCACTTGTTGTCATTTTCACCTCTGATAATTCCCCTTTTTACTTTGACCCGTGCTCCTTTTCTTTTCTAATAAGTGTCATTTCCCCCTTTGGATATGTGCCCCCTTTCGTTTCACCATAAAATATGCTCAAATTTTAAAGCAACTGAGAGCAATTTTTTCATTAATTTTGCCTAAAGCTCGCTCGCTAAACGGCTCGATCGCATTAAAAGTTGATATAACTATGTTTCTTATTAAATTAAGTTTTAGTCTTTCATGATCAGATTGTGCTTTAAACCCCATTAGAATTGTTTTCCTCTTTATAAGATGTAAGACTATAAGACACTCCCTCGCAAATATATTCAGACCATCAAACCCAACAGTAAAGTATGATGCTTAAGCAGTATCTTGGACCATGTAAAGAGAGAGACAAACATTGAAATCATCTTTAATAATGTAATCACAATGTAGGGGTATATACTAATGTTTAAAGATGGCGTATTTTCACTGCGACGTTTCCCTTTGTATGTGCCTCTTTTACCATAAAAGTGCCCTTTTTAATTGGTGCCCCCCCCCCCAACACTTTGCAGAAGTTCGACAGCCCCTGGATAATAGGCGGGATGTTAACTTATCATCTCATTGCTCAAAGTGTGAAGAACATTAATGTAAGCAATCAAGTAATTTGTTATAGTGGGTAGATCGACAGTATTCTAGCCTCATGAATATTTAGGCTAACAAAAAATAGTACGACATAGCTAAAAAGTAGTTTGTAGGCCTACATCTTGACTGTTATCGTCATTATCTGCATCCCCCTCTACAAAACAATTGCCCATTTTGCCACCTGTTGGTGATGCGGATTTTTTTTTTGCCCCCCCCCCCCCAAAAAAAAAAAAAAAAAACGGCTTTTGCTCATTACACCACTGTGCGCGCTCAGGATATCTATGAGTATATACACGTAAATGATATAGGCGAACATTCATGATCTTCATTAAGATGAAATCAGTGACGCCGACGAAAGGATGTACCTTAGCGTCGTCATGATGAACCTAAGCTCATTGGTAAAGGAAACCATCGTCTTTTTTAATGTGGGTAATAACATCAGCGCAGACTAGATGTTTCATTTATGCTATTTATGATCAGATGACATGGACGCTGACCTACATGTGATACCATGATTACATTTAGGAAACATAACATCGACACCAAATTTATTGCCACTATGAATCACTGATCCTGGATTTGACTAAGTGATATGAGCCATTAATTTGTAGAAATCCAAGGACTAACTTTTTCGACATGCTTCCATTTTGTTTTCATGGATATTTTTTGAAGGGAGCAGATGAAAAACAAAAGAACTAAACGTGTCGCTATTAAACAGAGATGTAAAGCACATACTCCCTATGGAGTCCTCGTGATCAGCAGAATTCTACGCGAGATTTAAAATTAGTTTGTTCCCATTCTACCACCTAACAATCTATTAGCTATGTCATGTAAGCCTAGCATTTCTGATAGCAAGAACAACATGAACTGTCGGTAACCTTTGAGGTTGGACAGTTTTTAAACCCAAGTGTTTGTCGACCGCAATCGAACAGGTAACACGACTCGGACGACGGTGGTGCTACTCGATCTCTTCTCCATCATCGATTTGGGGAAGACACTTGAAATGGATGACCATGAACCCATTACATCCTTGTTTTAGAATAAGGAATGATGCAAGCAATTCAAAACAATACTGCTTAAGCTAGATTATCGACTAATGCAATTACTTTAAATACGAAACGGAGCAATTAATAATTCATGTATTCGATCGTTGTCTTTATATAGGAAGCGTACATGACTGATAGTTTCCTGATCGAGAAGTGCACACGCGCCGGTGTTCAATTTATAAACTAAGAAACCCCGACACTAGAGGCAACAACTTAGATTTCATTTGTTGGAACCTGGTATTAGGCTAGACCTTGTCTTGTGTCGAGTTTCATTCTGTCTTCTTCTTTTTTTTATTTGTAGGGGGGTAAATATTGTTAAGGTCTTAATTTAGGTCGATGGTTTCTTGATAAATACTGTAAAAGTAATTGTGGGATAAATTAAATAATGATACCTTTCCTGATCCCTTGATGCCCTTCCAAAGACTGAAGTAGCAGATGATGTAGACTGCAAAAAGACAAAGAGCTAGTTGCCATACCACCTTTCCCAGATCGTCAATTCCAGCGCTCATATGAACTTGTAACACAGCTCGTCTGTTCAAACAATAATATTATACTTTTCATTTTCAAAATAGAAGTACGTTTCGGGGGAGACGACAATTCGCCTAAGGTAGGTGTGGATTAACTTTGTACCCGTAAAATCAAACAGATATCTTTTCCTTGAGAAGTCTTCCCTTTGGCTACACAATCTCCCTATTTTCAGTCAATCAATGAATCGACAAATTAAACATTTCCCCGAGTGATGTTATTATATTCCCTCAAGCCCGTAGGCCGAGGTTGAAATATAACGGTAAATCTCAGCCAACTGGATGCTCTCTATAAATAAATACTCCATATTATTATATGTATTCAATTATATATACATAAAATTAATGACACACAAGTCTGTTCAGAAACAATTTCAACTAAATGATAAACATATAGGTTAGACCTATAGATACTGGCTATACTAAATGAAAATAAATAACATTTACTCGTAATATTCTGTTGCAGCAGAAACATTTTGGTTGACGATGTCAGTGACGTTGTTTCCGTATTCATTGACGACCATGATAGAGACATTGTAAGCCGGTCCGTGCCGTGGCTCAAAGCAACTATTAGTGTTCCATGAGTTAGTACATACACTCCATGGCAAGACCTTCTGGAAGGATGCGATCAGGTAGTAGATGGAATACGAGATGATCACGTTGTAGTAGAAGTCGACAAAGAAAGCGATACAGATCATCGCAAATCCCACACCTGCCAAGTTAGGACAATCATTCCATTTTCAATTTCATTTCATTTATGAACACAACATAATATTAGCGTGATGGTAATCTTGAGTACGGAATTATTTCATTATACACAACAATGAATAATATAAGATAGTGAGAAGCAGACCAACAAATAGACAAACAGACAGCTATATGTATAAAGCTTGACATGCTCATCATCACTGATTATCAAATCTACAGGGTTGGTGTGTACTTTATTCGAATTTCAGGGAATTTGGTTAGCTAAATACTTTTTGTGGGTTTTTTTTTAAAGCAAGAATGTAATGGGGTTGTAATATATAAAATAAACAATTTCGCGCCAATCAGAATAAAAGTTTGGGTTGTCATTCATTCATTCAATGGTGAATTCTTATTTACTTATATCAGAATAGAAGGGATTTATCACGCAATTTGCAGACTATTGTCATTTTGTTAGACACGGGAATCAAATACAAATCTTTGAAATGATCATGATATGGAGACGTCAGTATGTGTATTCGATGCAGCAAAGTGTTAGATTGTATGTGTACTATTACCTTTGAAAAGCGGGCTAACCTTGTCCCATACGGTGATAGGACCAGTTTGATTGTACTGGCCAAGGGCTAACTCCATGTAGAAGAGTGGAATCCCCATGAAGATCAACATGAAGAGGTAAGGTATCAGGAAAGCACCTGCAAATATACAAAGACTTGTATTTAGCTACAAATTTGTCTAACATTTCTATTTTTGACAAGTATGAACAGCGTCATTTTATCAAAGATACGTGCCGTACGGAGAGAATCTGAATCTGTTAATGTTATTGAAGGTGATAAAAAGCTAGAGGAAATGTGAAGGGGAAATGTATATAAACTTATACCGAGACAGGTAGGGAGAGAGGTGAGGGTAGATATGTGGTTGTGATATAAAAGTTCGTGTTGAATTTGCACTACAAAATGATAATGAAAAGATGTCAAAAGAAAAGGTAGAATATAGAAGGTTTGTGTTTCTTTTCCACGCCCCTGCAGGTTATTACCTTCATCTAACCCTCCTCTTCGATTCTTTCTACAAGGGTTGTATCGTATGATTCGATATGTTGTACAGCTGTTCTCTTCAGGCTATAACAAACCTCCTGGTATACAAGATTGCCGATTAATAATGAGCGCTAATTTCAATCAAAATTACCACCTAAGGAAATGACAAACGTAGGATGAAAATAAGCCAACATATCGTGTGGTATTTGAATAAGTTTACTCCTTGTCAAAATCTCGTCTTGTTCGGACATATTGAATATCAAGATAATATTTAAAGGAACAGATTAGGTTTGGAATGCTATAATTTTAAACAGATGGTGAGATAATGAAGTTTTAAACACTTCATTTGTAAAAGAATGGCTTGACCCAACGTTAGCTAGTTGGTCTATATTAAAGTCATCACTACAGTTCAATTTCCGTTCATCAGATTAAGCATACTTTAAGTAAATTTCCCGTATTTTTGATCGGTTGAATTCACAATCGGTGTATATTGTGAGGGACTTAATTGCAAGCATAGGCTACTTTCGTTTCGTTGTTTATAACATTTCATTATACTGTTGGGAATCAAATCAATTCCTAATGGACTAGAATTGCTCTAATGGATTCTTGAAAAGGTTGATCGAATTGACCTCAAAGACAAGATGGCACCGATATGCGTACCAGATATTCAAATCTTCTCCTTGGTCGATATTTTTATTGGAGAAAATTACAAAAATAATCAGCGGAGAATTTAGGTTCTCCGCTGATAGACAAAGTAGAAGTTTCGTGGTCTAGGCATAGTGGGTATATTGCCAGACGGTGGATCACATGGTTCGAGCCTCGACTCCCGTCTCGGTATAAACATCCTTTGGCAAGACTTTATTCCACATTTGACACACTGCAGCCGGGTGCACTACTTGGGTACCTGGTAGGAACTGAACCCTCAACAAAAGTTTGGAAACTCAAGTTTGATCGCTGACATCTCTCTTGTCATGGCATAATCATCACTTCGTTTAGTGTCTTTAGAAACTGTGTTGATTCCTTTTTAATGTGATACCATATTTTGCAGCCATTGAATAAGCAGTGCATCAGAAAAAGGAACAGAGTCAAAGGTGAAAAGTTGCAAAATGTTAAATAAAAATTTGTAAGCGTTTTTTTAATCTTTTTTTACAGCAATTTATTTATGTTAGATAAAGTGTATTGTAAGTTTGAGTAATAATATTATTGTTATAGTGCTTGCAAGTTTGTTCAACTTCATGCATTTAGTTTTTAGTGCAGTGTGAATGTTGTTCATTGGTAAGATCATCTGAAACACTGCAGCTATACAATTTTCAAAGAAAGAAGAATACACAGCCGAACAAGAGCAGTGCATTTCCATCTTTATACTGTTGACCTTTTACTTGTGTTAATGTAGTACACATTCCATGACTTACACAATCATAAGAAATGGGGTATCATTTTAAAAAGGAATAAACTCACATTCTAATGGCATTAAACCTACTAAATGCAGCGATGATTGTGCCATAAGAAGAGAGATATAATCGATCAAACTTGACTTTCAATTTTTTTTCGTGAGATGCTTTCAGTGCCTTAGGGCAACTGGGCTAGCCAGAATAATACAAATACATGAGGATTCTCTGGAAAGAATATACACGGAGTGGAAATTTAACTATTATTATTTTTGTTAAAATCATAATCAATATTATTATTATTATTATTATTGTTATTATTATTATTATTATTATTATTATTATTATTATTATTATTATCATTATTATCATCATCATTAATATTTTTATCATCGTTATCAATATTTATTCAAGTTTGAGTGCCTGTTGTATTTATGATACAGGCCTACCGTGAATTCTTCGCCTTTGGATCATAACTTATAGGAAATTCTTAACATCACTGTGTATTTGTAAGTAACATTGAAGGTGATATGGCGATGAAGTTTATCCAAAAGAATAATAATGCAGCGCCATGATGAATATTGGTATCAAATATCTCCAAACGCTCATTGGCATTTTTATGGAGGTAGTTTGAATGATATTCAAAATAAAGTTTGAAGAGAGAATTCGACGATAACAAATTACTTAGTTTAGTGGTTACCAGATCGACAGATTACATGGCAAAGTTAATGACTAGTGATAGTACATCATTCTGGTTTTGTTCTGGTTTTGTTCGTCAGAGCTTCGTAGCTAAACAGGTCACTTGAGCCACTGAACACGTTACCGCAGGCAGCCACATCTCCATCACCTCTACATGCAACTTCCATGTGGTTAAATCCATTTCAATGTGAAAAGCCCCCCCCCCCCCCCCCCCCCCGCCCCCCGAGGAAAATTTCGTTAAATGTTGAATCCAAATTTCCCTCCTAATGGTATTTTTTTTAATTCAGAATTGTCTTGGTTTTCCTTGATTAATTTAAAGGGTTTATACAGATTAGTATGACATACATGTATGTAAGAATAAGGTACGAATATATTTCTACCTATCTGTAAGGCAGGAGAAAAAAAAACGTGAGATGCAATGAATATATCAAAAGAGATCAACACATTCTGGGATTCACGAAAGCAATTAAAAGAGAATGGTTGGTCAAGATGGCAGAGTTTGTAGAGAGAGAGGGGGGCGAGATTGGGAGGAAGAGAGAGAGAGAGAGAGGGGTATGATATTTACCTAACGAGAGGTGATGAGCAAGAATGAAGAAAGAAAGTGGCGAAAAAGTGGTCGGGAAAGAAAGAGGGAAAGAGAGGAAAAGGAAAAATTGCCAATGAATTCTACACTGCAATATCATCTGGCCATTACTTCACCGCAGGTCTACCTCGCTGTATCTGTCACGAACCCTGAAAATGTTTTTACATTCCCGGCTATTGATTGATAGAACAAGGGCCTAGCTTTATCGATTAGAGTATCAGTTTGAATTGTAGTGTCCATTATTTTGGATGAATTCAATCCACAATTCAAAGACACAGGTAGCCCCAATTTCATCACTTTTAATCGAACCAATGTTAGGAGGAATAAGTAAGGTATTACAATAATCACAAATGTATTACTATTATCTCAAGAAGCTGATAAATTCAAGTATATATTGTTCGAGAGAGAAAATAGTACTGGGAGTTTAATTGGGAAGTTTACTTGGAAGGGTGTGAAAATATTAATTAATCTTAACCACTTTTAGTTGTTGCCTTTGGTTGTGTCTGCAAAGTAAAACAAAAATGTAAGAATGTTGTACTGATATAAAGTACAACAATCTGTCTTAAACTGTCAAATCGATCCTTTTCTTCGTTTTCTCCCATATTCTATAGGGAATCCTGTAGCTTCGACGTCATATTTATTTATTTTTAAAGCAAGAAATATTGTTAGCATCACCGTTGTCGTCGTCTTTCTGGCTATTGTTGATTTCTTTGTCTCCTGGTGCAAGAGACATTTATATATACACACACCATTGATACACATTCGACAAAGGATGAAACTAATATTCAAACACGGCGAGAAGAAGTTAGTCGATTGGTATAACTACTCAAGCGAGATGATTTTCTTTCATTTTTTCTCATCAATTCTGCGGTGAAAATGACGTAGATAGCTAAGATATTGCATTATCCTACGAAAATAGAATTTAAGAATGCTGAGCAATACGAGATGCGTGCAAAGCAAAAGATAAAGGACAGCAACAAAGGCCTACATTCTTAATTGTAAGACGTGTTAACTTTTACTAAACATTACAATTACAACATTAAATTTTTATTTAACGAAAAGTGTTACGGGCTAAGATATAATGACAATTTAATGCTTCCGAAACCAAGAACCAATCAGTGTAAACGCACATTCTTATATCGGGGATCCGTGTTATACAATGAACTACCTATTAAGCTCCGTCAGTTAGGCACACTAAATTTGTTTAATAAACATGTTCAAAATACTTCAATTATTTTGATATTTAAATTTCGCAATCCCATTGGCTTTTGCCATAAACATAACCAATTTAATAACAGACTAAATTAGATAATGTGTAGAATATTTTAAAACTAATTAAGTTAATTGTTAGCAGGGTGGGTGATAAGGGTGGGGTCGTATTTTGTTACATTAGGGATGGTACGGGATATTTGAATAGATTTTAATGCTTTTTGTTAGTGTTTTTTGTTTAATTTAATTTAATTTGATTTAGTTAAGTTAAGTACAAGTACAATGTTGTTGTTGTTTTTAAATATTTTTAATTACGACTTACTATTTTGTTATATCATTGCTTATTATAGTATCATTATATATATTGGACTCCATGGAAGAACAGAGCCATTAGGTTAATGGCTCTGAAATGGACTATCCAACCGTTTTATCATTCTATCATTGTTATATAAGTCTTTAATTTTGTTATATTGTGTTATTGTTTTTTTTATGATGATTTTCGGAAATAAAACAAACAAACAAAACAATCAATAATATCTGTTATTGCGATATGTATTACATTTTTTATATGGGTAATGTGTGAGTCTGTATTGGGCTACCCACTTCCCTGTTTCACGAAAATAGGATGTGGCACAGCACTTTATTGCGACGGATATTGAAATGCTTTCACTGTACATAAAGGTATTTCTGTTATGTAAATATAAAAATTCATGACACTTAGCTGGAATGTGGGTGAAGGGATAAATACCGTTAGTCAATGATTATAGGTAGGAAGAATATTGTCACATATTATCTAAGTTAGATGTGGACATCTTATACAATATTGAAAGACTGAGCAAGTTTGTTGTATGATTTTTGGCTCAGAGTCACATGAGGTGGAATGTTAGATGTATCATTAGAATCATGATTAAACATATGGGTTTTCTTTTTATTATTTCGTTAGAAGCTTGAAAAGTTACTGTATGAAATTATCTAACACACATTCTTCTACGGGATGTATTTGGAAGAACATTTTACATATCTCCATCTCTCAGTTTACATATATCGTCTACTTCTCCATCACTAATTCCAATATCCATGATCATGCACGTCATTCCTCCAAAGTTCGAAAGTTTTGTTTTAATTCAATTGATTTCATATTTAGTAATTGTACAGTAATTTGTTCTACATAGTTCGATCACTGGTTAGCGATAAGAGACTTCGATGGAAGCGTTTATAAGCACCGTTTTTTTGTATTAGTAGTAGTAGTATTATTCTCCACCCCGTTGCACAATATCTTCCTCTCTCTCTCTCTCTCAATCTTTCTCTCTCTCTCTCTCTTTCTTTCTTTCTCTCTCTCTCTCTCTCTCTCTTTCTTTCTTTCTCTATCCCCCATCTCTCTCTTTCTCTCTCTCTTCTCCCCTCGCTCTTTCTCTAGTCGGTGCCTATTTTCTCTGCTGCTCTCTTAGTTCCACCACTTGTTTAACTGACTCCCAACCTTGCAGGTAGCGTTCAATGAAATTCTTGTACTTTTCGTCTTTTCTATATTTTAACGGCTTGACTCGTTATCTTATTATCTTTTTCTCATTTGTCTATCTCTGTCTGAGTCCTTCTCCATATGTCTTCCTCTCACCCTTCTTTGACCGACCACTCCCTCTCTCTCTCTCTCTCTCTCCTCTGATCTCCATCTCAGTCTCACTATCCTCTTCTCCCTACCCATCTCTAATCCATGCCATCAAGTCCTTCCCAGGTTCCTGGCCGCCTGAGGCTCTTTTAATCAAACACAATCCCCTCGGCATAGGGTCGTCTTCTTCATCGATTTATGATGATCACGGAATTAATCGGCGTGCGGATTCGATGTGTTATCTCCTCTCAAATTGATGCACATTTTAATAACTCTGCCACCGAATACCCCCATCCTTGTTACTCTTCTCCTCTCTCCCTCCTAGATTTCTTGGCCCAGAGTTTGACGGGCGCATATTACTAAGGGTTGGTCGTGAAGACCGATTGGTCGCGCAAGCGGGTGAAACAATTAGACATCTTTAATAGTCAGGGATCTTCGAACAAGAGTAAATCGGAAACAGGTGATGCATTATTCATGAATTAAAGTTACATGTAGTCTTAAAACACGGATGGCATTTGACTTATCAAACTAAGGGTAAGCTGAACATGCCGAATGCCATACTGTAAGACATACTCCTTGTTCGCTTGACACCCAATCTAAATATTACCCAAGTTGCACATCCAGATATCATATTACTTTACATGATATCGTCTAAGAATGAATGTAACCAAAAAGGAGAACGAGAAAACGAACTGATTGCATCACGACATACCATAAAGTGATAAAGATGAAGACTCAAAGAACCCCGAAAAATACTTTTTATCTTTGTTAAAGATGAACACATTATCTAACCATACCCATTGCCGTTATGTTCTGTTTATATGATGATAAAAGTCAAATAAATTATATCATAGTATCAGGGTTTTTTAATTTTATGGCATTAAGTCCAATCAGGCGGTCTTAGGGATAAAGAACGATACGATGTGCTGTGATTGACTTGGTTTCGAACCAGTTTCTCAGGTAATGATCATAAGAAGAAGATTATTCACATCAATAAAATGCGACATTGTGATACATACATGTATATCAAAATGAAAAGAGGCTTTTTCAGAGGAAGACAAATATTTTTAAAAAACTCCTATTAACAATCAAACTTACCGCCGCCATTTTTATAGCACATGTAGGGGAATCTCCACACGTTTGCGAGATCAACACAAAATCCAATGACAGAGAGTAAGAAGTCAATCTTCTTGGACCATGTCTCACGACCAGTACCATCTCCACGTCCAGCTATTTCATTCCCTGAATCCATGGTTACCTCCATAAGCTTTCCTTGGGTCGCTAAAAGAGCAAAACAAAAGTTCATATCTGTTAATATACTGTTTACTGATTAATAATTACAAAAACTCTTTTGGTCGTGTTATCTGAGAGAAATAATTGATAAAGAAAAGAGGCAACAGAGAAATTACCTAAATTGCAAGGTACAAATTTAAATTTGACGAAAATGTAATGAAAACGTTTAGAGACCACCCCCCCCCCCCCTCCTCCCCACTCCCTTGCTTTCATTCACTATAAGCTCGACAAATGGTACACATCATTCAAGAAGTATATGAATATGAAGAAATAGTAGTAAAAGTAGATAAAAGGGGGAAGAAGAACAAGAAAATGATGATGCTAGTCACCTAGTAACAATGATGACGAGGAGGAATAAAGAATACCCACAAATAGAAGAAGAAGATCAATGATGAATTAAGAACACAAAGGGTATATAGATGGCACGCAATCTCTCCCAATCTTCATTCTAAGTAAGAGAGAGAGACAGAGAGAGAAAAAAAAAGAAACGGTAGGATAAAGGGAAATAATGGAAGAGGAAGAAACGGTAGGATAGAAGGAAATAATGCAAGAGAAAGAAAGAAAGAAAGACGAATAGACAAAGAAAGAAAGAAACACAGCACAACACTTTTGATTTGACTGGAAGATCAAAATTATTTTACAAAGGTGCATTTCTGGTTCGACGTAGAGGAAATATTCATCAAACTTAACGATAAATCAGATTTAATTTCAGACAAATTTTGAATGTTCCCTGTAGACAATATCACAATCTTGGGAATGCCTCCTCCGCTGTCGTATATACCGGTATACAATACATGTCTACACAACAGAACGTGTATGGGATAAAACGACTTAACCCCTCAAAATCATCCCACTTTTTGCCCTTGGGCGCCATAATTTTGTGGAATCGACAACAAGCACAAATTGAAATCGAGGCAAGTACAGAAGAGGTTATGACCTACATCCATGAAATGCACGGAGCCTCAAGCCTACTGGCCCCCGTAACTCTTGGCTGCATGCACCTGTTGTGAAGTGGTCTCCCCGAGGAATATCCCCTGGTCCATTTTACATGTTTTAGTTATGCATTTTTAGGTAGAAGTTTTTAGTCGAGGTTCGGAGAGGGTAGTAGTTAAATCAAGTTCGCCACAATAAAGTAAGAGTGCTATTATTATTCACTATGATGATAAGTGTAAGTGACTGACTGAAGCCTGAATATGTTCTTGTTCAAAGCTTTTCGAAAACATTACTGTTTAAATAAAAAGTATATCAGGTAATAGTAGGCCTAAATCTTTGCTTTAAGTGGTTCATGGTAAATTGGAAAAATCCAAGCAGGCAACCGTTTCATACCGATAGCCTACGTGACTAGAGAAATTTGCCTACTGAAGGAAAGATTTTATATTAAAGATGAAAAAAGGGTAATCGACGAAAAAGAAATAAACATAGAAGTGTTGAGCGAGCAGGAGAGTAGTACATTTAATATACCTCTCTTTAGTTTGTTGAGTAATTCTAGTCATCTGATTGGTCGAAATTGGAGTCGTGATTTAAGCCATGGCCGCCTACCTGTCAATAGTTTGCTTTTTTTTAAATGGCCGTTGCCCCGAGTAACCGGCCGCATAAATAAAATTTGCTGAGATCCCCATTGGTTTATGTGTAAAAAGTTTCTTTGTGTGAGCGCGGATACCTAACAGTGCAGTGTGTAAGCGATTCCCGAATGATCGTAACATTCAGGCGACTTTCCAGCGAATATTTACAGTCAGTGTCTCAGATTTTCTGTGATTTTTTTAACCAGTCTTTATTCAAGAAAAGGATATGGTAGGATGTTACGCCCCGGCACGCCTCGGGGTCATAGCAGGATGTAAGGTCCCCTTGAGCCTACAGAAACAGCGATGCCTCTCATAGCAGTCAATATATCGTTTTAACAAAAATATCACACGTATGCCAACCTGAAGTGAAAAACACGAAAACCTATTATTTCAAAACAGTCAATAAAGAATTTAATTGCTCACCGAAAGGTAATATGTCCCATTTGCATAAATTAAATTAAAATAAATTCCAACGGCATTTGAAAGACAATACTAATTTAGAACTTCCCTTAAAGCGAAAGTGCTTGAAAATGGCTTTTAGTGGGAAATTAACGATTATTAGTTGTCGAATCGACTTTAGTGATTGCAATCACCTTAGTAAAACTCTGATTTTCAGACCCTTTTACCGAATGGTCGTACGTTTTGTGCTGCACAAAGTTTAATTTTGGCCATTACAAGTATTAGGTTATTGATGGAGACAAGTGCTCATGTACCGGTTTAAAGCTCATTTTATGTATGTTATTACCAAAGAAAAAAAAGATGTCAGTCAATAGTGTCCGACAGTGGAGTCTAGAAGGTAAACGGGTTTCCTTTCATAATTTGAATACTAGGACACTGATAATGTTTAGATTTCACAGATATAGGACATACTGAACATATTCATAAGTCCTGCAAAGTTCTACAGGATTTGATGCTGGCTGCAAAAGGGCTATTATCTTTAATCATTAAATGTTGATGACATAGTCATGTCAGGACACATAGTGTACAAAGCCTGTTCTTCCATAATCGTCATTTACTGATCAGAATACATCAATTTCCTGAATATGTCAATTTCCTAGGCCCTTTCACTACTCTTACCTTCAGAACAGATACCAATTCGAGTCAAGTTTGGAATTTATACACTTACAGAAATGTGGCTTTTGCTCACTCGACTGTAAAATATCGTTACTTTTGATGTCATTAGATGAATGAGACCGCAACCTTTTTACAGGTAAGAAGAGCTGCTGAGAATATTTTGAAGAATATTTAAATCATTTAGGCCTATTTGGAAGACATTTCCAACACTACAGTTTTGACATACACTGTGTAAAGAAATGTGGAGAAATTAAGAAATACAATGGATATCAGTTATGATAAAAAGAGAAAAAAGGCAACGAAATGCATAATAGAATAAAAAGTGAAAAGAACAAAGAAAGTGGAAAAAATCAAACGCGTGAAGATAGCAACGAAAATAAAAAAACGTAGGGTAAAATGATGAAGAGATGGAAATTATGGATCATGTTCATTATGCACCTAACCCCGGAAAGTTGTCTAACGTCCCTCGAGTTCGTCTAGCTCGGTCTCAGGGCTGATATTAGATAACAATTTTGAATACGATCTAAGTAATCATAACCCTAACCCATTATAATAATAATAATAATAGTTCAGTTCTTGTAAAGCGCATAATACGTCATGAAATAACATCTCCGTGCGCTTCCAAAGAGCTTTGGACTATACCAGTAATTGGGGGAACATTTCAGAAATAAGGAAGTGTTCCAGGTGTCCATTGGCATTATGTCCATGCTTTAGGGTAAATGATCTTAGTACAGAAGAGGCTTGTTAGTACCCCCTGGATCTTATTGGTATAGATTTGGGACGTTTTGTGTATTAAAGGCTTTGATTGTCTCGATATAGGCCAAATACCCATACTTAGGTTCATTCTGAATGTGCTGTTTGAGTACAGTAGGTAACATTATCATTCGGGGACAGGAAAACTTGAGTCGTTGTGGCTTACATATAAAATGTAGGCTGCGATGTAGACAGGTGAGAACATAGAAACGGTTATTGCACCCCACTCACCCTCGAAACAGAAACTACGTTCAGTGCCTGAGGCTGTCGCGGTCCCAAACTGAACGTAGCATTGAGTAGGGTGCATCACCGCAATGCGCGCGTAATCTGACACGGTAAACCAACCTCAGTGCAGGGTCCTACATCCTTAACCCGCCCTTGCGGCTACCGTACAATTCTTGTTCCGCCTCTGGTTTCCATCTTCAATCGTACAAGAGTAACCCAAGAACACGTTCTCTTGCTGAATTAAGCGACGGTTTCCGTGTCCACTGTACCAACTTTCTACACACAAATAATCCGGTTCAATACACTTGGTTTGGTTTCAGACATGGCGCCTATAATTACTTTTTTTTTCCTCACTAAGGATTGTTTATTTTGCTCTGCGGTTCTGTTTTGTGGCGACGTTTTCAGCAACTAGTTCATAGTTAGCCACACGTCGATATGTGCTTTAATTCTTCAGGGTAGTTGTGTATCGTATACTTTTCATCAGAAAGATTTCGGCTTTTTTAATAGAAAAGCCCTAATTCTTTAAAACCCATGGTGACACAATGCAGGCTGCAAACCTATACGACATTGTAAATCAATTATTATCAACAGCTATATGTTTGCCTTTGCATACGAGTTGACCGTCATTTAACATTGATTGCGTTAGTCACTGTACTAATCAAGATTGAATGAATTCAATAAGCCAATTATTCGACGTAAGATTCAGTCTGTTCACTTTGCATTTACATGTACTTTGTGTTCGATGTCATTCTCACTTGGCACGTCAACTAGACGTCGCGAGAAACTGACGCAGTTCTGCGTGAACTAGACGTCGCGAGAAGCTGACGCAGTTCTGCGTCAACTAGACGTCGCGAGAAACTGACGCACTTTTCCGTCAACTAGACGTTGCGAGAAACTGACCCAGTTCTGCGTGAACTAGACTAATCAAGATTGAATGAATGCAATAAGCCAACCATTCAACGTAAGATTCAGTCTGTTCACTTTGCATTTACATGTACTTTGTGTTCGATGTCATTCTCACTTGAATCGTCAACTAGACGTCGCGATAAACTGACGCAGTTCTGCGTCAACTAGACGTCGCGAGAAGCTGACGCAGTTCTGCGTCAACTAGACGTCGCGAGAAACTGACCCAGTTCTGCGAGAACTAGACGTCGCGAGAAGCTGACGCAATTCTGCTTCAAACGAACGGCGCCTCGTGAGCAATGAACACATTCAGATCACTCCAAAATCTTTATAGGCGTGTGCTTATATCAACTACTTCAATTATTGATAGTGAGAGTTTAAACTAAAATAAGTTTAAGAAATCCTACCGCTTGCGCGTTGCGTTCAAACAAGTCATGAAAAATGGCACCTCTACCCCCCCCCCCCCCCCTC